TGAATACTTTCCGTACCCACTGTATATATATATATATATATATATACTGTATATATAAACACACACAAAAGACCTACTTTAGGAAGCTACTTAAGAACTCTCTTTATCTCCAGAAAATCACTTCCCTGACCAACACACATACCAGCAACGCTTTCAGTGGGTTAGAGTTTGTTCATGACCCACATCGGAAGACCTTATTGTCAAAAGCATACAGGATAAGCCCTGGCCTGAACCCCAAAAGCATGTCTTTTGTTCCATGTATTTACGTTCCACGTACCGGAACGTGCTATATCATTCAGGGTATTTTTGTAAGTATGTTAAGCCGTTTGTATAGATTAGCATGAGACGTGTTGTTACATAGGGTTAATTTTGTCACATGCTCGGCTGACTTGAATTAACTCGCTTATGGAATTATGCAAAAATGAAACTTGTTCGTTCGTTGCATTTCAATAAATTTACAATTTGACTATATATAACATTGGTAATATTACTGTCTTTATAGCAGTGTTGTATTATTAACAAAAATTATAACTGATAATATAACAAAAATATAAACAAAAATTTTAAATCAAATAAGCTGAAACATTTATTTTATATTATATTTTAGAATTAAATCTAAAATATGAAACAAATATGAATGAAATATTAAAAACAAAACAAAACTAAACTTACTAAAACTCAACTAAAATTAAAACTGAAAATATAAATATAAAAGCTACTTCAAAGTATTATTAAATATTGTAATAGTATATAAATACTACCAAAACAACACCACTTAATAGTCCTAATTCTTTCTTTTGATTCTTTTGAGATTCATCCCAATGTGCCACAAAATTTGCATTCATACAAACCACAGAATCATGTCTGGTCTCACACAACCAAACAATATGCAAAAGCAGAGGAGAGCCTTGATAACATTCAGCCAGCAAGAGAAACAAAGTCGAACACAAAGAGCTAAACAGCACTACAACAAAACCCTCGGTTTCAATTCATTCGCCATTTATTGTCAGCATGTATCCAGTCAGAAAAATATCTCTTTAATCTGTTTACATCCTCTCAACTGTGACGTTAAGAACCACGGTTATGTAAGAGGAAGTAATCTAAGTGTACGTTTGAAGATATAACACAAATAAGTGCATATTGATGTTAATGAATAAGAAATCTACGGGTTTAGCCATCAGATATGAATGGATTACTTATAAAAATCAAATGAATGAAAGGAATTTACCAATGTAATTCTCAATTTACACTGTCCTCAAGCTGCAATTAAATATATCAAAGAATCTAACCAAAGGAACAGATAATGTGGACAGTTTAAGAGCTGATTCAGACTGTAAACTGATAATGTTTGTGCTTTGGGTTCGTAAGTAGTTCATACAAATGTGTATTTTGATTTGGGAACAATGGGTTTAGCCATCAGATATGAATGGATTACTTATAAAAATCAATAATTCTCAATTTACACTGTCCTCAAGCTGCAATTAAATATATCAAAGAATCTAACCAAAGGAACAGATAATGTGGACAGTTTAAGAGCTGATTCAGACTGTAAACTGATCATGTTTGTGCTTTGGGTTCGTAAGTAGTTCATACAAATGTGTATTTTGATTTGGGAACAATGAATCTTTTATGTTTAAATATGAAATTGCTTGACTCAAAGAATAATTTCAGTCTTTCCCAACAGTGTAATTTATGATGCATTTGACAGAACGAAAGAGTTCATCCATTTTGAAAACAAAAGAAAATTCTGAGATTTGACTAAAAACAATTTCTTCTTTTTACTGCAGGCTTTTGAAGGCTTGAAAGATATTGCATAAGTTAATAATTGACTGCTTTTATGATGCTTTTTGTCATTTTGGAGCAGCGCAGTACTTCACATTCATTATATTGACAAAAGAGCCCAAAAAATTCTAATTCAAATTTTGTGTTCCACAGAATAAAGAAAGGTTACATACAGGTTTAGACTAGTAAATGAATGGTGATCTATCCCTATAAATGTTCAATTAAACAAAAGCACTCACTAAAGATTGATCTCGGCATACTTCCAAAGAATAGGACGCAGGCATTCGCTCTTAAACTATTAGTCCCTTACTAATAGTAGGTTAAAGCATGCTGGCGCTTACTCAATGCCTGTTTGCTCGGATGACAGCAAGCATTGTGTATTGACTTGAAATTCCCTCAGGGTCATGTCTATGTCTGAGAACGATTTCAAACAGGCTTTTGTCTGTTTCTAATACATTAAGATGGCAAATTGGCTAATTTTCATAACTATAAAATCCTGCCAGGAAAAAAAAGATTGCCTTATAAAGCTGTCATTGCCATTGTCTAGTCATAAAAGATGTTAGATGTAATGTTAAGAAAATAAGCCAGAGCAAAGTTTTATTGCTCAGTGTGCTCAGTTATTATGGATAATTTGTATACAAATTACTTTGGAGAAATAAAAACATACAAATGAAGTATGACGTAATGCAGTCTGATCACAACAGAGGTGACTTCATGCAATAAATTATTACATAATACGACAATAAATCTAAACTCAAGAACACAATTCAACAGACAGTGGACTCAGATTTTATCACTGAGATTGAATGGAGATCTAATGGAAACTTTAGCCATCCATGTCCATGTTTGGCCAAACAATTGTCTCATTTATGTCATTTGACATCTTTTAAAGCAATTTAGGAGAAACATCTGAGGCAACGTTCACACATATATACAAACCATAACTAAGAACTAACTCCATTCTGTCTCCTGGGATATGAATGAGCAACACTGAGCAATAAAATGCATCTGTTTCAGTAGTCTTGTTGAGCTGGGATTGTGATGGATCTGCGGCTGCTCACCTGTGCGGAATCCTCCAGCACGCTCAGGCGGAACCGGCCTCTCTTCACCTCCATCTCCATCGCGGATCCACGGGCCACAGTGGCTCTGGAAGTCTGGTTTCTGCAGAACATGAGTGCTGTGGGTTGAAAATCCCAACTCAAGCGACCTATCGAAGCGGTTAACTACTGCATTAAAATAAACATAAACCCCGTCCCAAATGCTTAGATATATATCTTAAAAGCGCCATTAGTATAAAATCCTACTGGACATGTTGCAACAGCTATGGATAAATAGGGTGTGTTTTTCCCCAGTCCGTGGTATGGGTGGCGCTTGAAGTTTTGAACACTCACTGAAACAGCGACCCCATGATTGTGATTTAGTGAACATAACTTTGGTAGGCTGTTAAATGTTTTCCCATTGCACAAAAGGTTTAATTCCGCCAGGGCGCGTATATTGGTTTAAAAAACGAATCCTCCCTTCAGACGTATCTAAATTTTAGAACATTTTTTGGATCACTGGAAACATCTGCAACCTAAACCGTATTATCTTTTGATTCTAATCATTTTGAGTATTAACAGCTGAAATCTACAAATCGAAACTCGCACCAGTAATCTCAATAAAAGCATTTTTAAACATCCCCACGCTGTAAATACAGACGACCGTGATTGGTCCATTCTGACCTGCGCTGACAAAAGTAACAGGCACCACATGTTAATAAATGACGTAAACGAGCAGCGGTTCGACAGCAGGTTACTTGCAAAACTTTGCATTTGAAAAAAAAAATTACACTGAGAAACTTTAATGGACATTGTCTTTAAAATACAAAGTTACAAATCTAAATACAAGACAATTATTTAGACTCTTTGCCTCAAACCAAAAAGATTGGTTTACGGCTGGTAAACACCGCTCATTTTATGTTACATTTAAAGGGACAGTTCACCCAAAAATGAAAATTGTGTCATTAATTAAGCACCCTCATGTCGTTCCAAACCAGTAAGTTCATCGTAAAACACAAATTAATGTATTGCTGATGACATCAGAAAGCTTTTTGTCCCTACATAGACAGAAACGCAACTACCACGTTCAATGCCCAGAAAGGTAGTAACGTTGAAAACATCCTTAAAATAGTCCATGGGCCCGTTCTTCGTACGTCGCTAACTCAGTTAGCTGGATTTGATTGTTGACGATTTGGCATGATCTTGGATTGTTTGGTTCTTCGAAGCTCATCCTGGAGTTGCTGTCATAGCAACAGGTCCACAAACTTAAACCTGCTCGGGAGCAGGTTTATTTCATGTAAACCGGATTAGATTGCATCTTTTTAAGCAGAATTGATACTTAAAACCTGTCCTCTACCACCGCTACTTTATTACAAGAGTACCCTACTAATCCAGGGACAATAAGTTAAAATAATAATCATTTAAGAATGAATTTAAAGATAATATAATAATGTTGTGTAGTCTTTAATACTACAGACACAGCCAGTTTTACTCACTGAAAGATTTATTCGTCATAAAATTATTACTTCATAATTGTATTAGAGTCTT